CTTTAGTGATTGCCAAGAAGGGAGGAGAACCCAAAGCCAAGAAAGCCAAGAATCTCAGAAAAGAACTTAGCCAATACAGGTAGTCCTCAACCTACGACCACAATTGAGCCCAAATTTCTGTTCTTAAGTGAAACATTTGTTAAGTGAGTTTAACTCTGCTTGTCAGAAGGTCGCAAAAGGGGATAATATGATCCCGGAATATTGCAACCATCATAAATATGAGTCAATTGCCAAGTGTCTGAATTTTGATCACATGACCATGCAGCGGCTGCAACAGTCATTAAGTATGAAAAATGGTCGTAAGACACTTTTTTCAGTGCCATTGTAACTTGGAACAGTCACTAAATGAACTGTTGTAAGTCGAGGACACTCTGTAAATGGATTGATTCAAAAGAAATCTGACAAAGATGGAAGGGGGAAACTGAACTATTATGCAGTAGACATGTCAAATAGAAGATACCATCAAAGATATTCTCTACTTATAAGAACCTCTAGTTCAAGATGATGAAATTAGATCAATACTCTGCTCATTTCCAAGTTGGAAGGTTATAGGAACTGATGCCACATCCACAGAAGTCTGGCAAGCAACAGAAGAAGAATCAATAATGGTTCTATCCAAACTATCCAAGCAAATCTGGAGAAATGCAAAGGATCTGTAAGCTCTAGTAATAACAGTAAAGAGCATAGTGAAAAATGAGACTAAAATTTAAAGACGACCAAACTGGCGATAGAACCATTTTTAGAATTGGCAATGGTAGTAAAGAACAAGCAGTCAAGAAATATGCCGATTACCGCTTGGTGGAGTAACCACCAAGGCTCAAATTACCCTGCTTCAGACATATAATGCAAAGATCTAAATCTCCGAAGACTTCAAAGCTAGGAAAGGTGTAAGGAAAGAGGAAGCCAAGCAGCACGATGGATGGACTCAGTTACATTGGTGAGGAATGCACCACTGGAAGACTAAAATACCAGTTTAGGAATAAGTTATCATGGAGAAAGTCTACCCAGGTAGTCGCTAGCTGCCAATAATGACTTGATAGCACACAATCAGTCAATCAGTCAACCAATTCCTGCTTTGGGCTTCAATAAAAAGCAGCATAAAAACAAATCAAATAGAAACAAAGTATAAAAACCTGATGTCAGCTCTAGGCAAGAGGTCCACAACATCATTCCCTGAATCCTCCTGTTCTTCTCCTTCCTCACCATCATCATTGCCAATAGTGTGCCTTGTATTGCCTCGAGTTGCAGCGGTTGGTGTTTGTCCTTGCATCTGAAATGCATACACTTACCAAATTACTTTGCATCTTTTTGATAGGGAGCATTTGGCATTTTAATTCACGTGATTGTACAATACTGTGTTGTGCTAATTAAAAATCATGCAAGTAATGCTCAAAATGGAAGGATCAAGCAAGATATAGGACATGACACTGGGTGATACATCACTGAACCTGCTGCTTGTTTAGTGTATTACCCAAACATTTAGCTTCTATCACCAATCAGTGAATTTTACAGTATAGTAGTCTTGAAGAATTAATACTCATATTAATAAAGGTTTGACAAACATTTCCATCCGAAACACTAGAAGTCATCTTCAGTCAGTCATCAGCCAATACAATCTTCCAAGACCGACTTAGTAGATTGCTCATTTACTTCACTATGTTATTAGCAACATTAAGAAAGATACTGGAGTCAGTCGAAACGATCATCCATACAATAAATGTTTTAGCATTTTAAAGAAAACTTACTTTTTCAAACTCTGCATCTATTTGGGAAAGAAGAGCAGGCTTCTCATCCTCAAAGAACATTCGTAAAGGGGGACCAACATACAGAAACATGACTCCTAGTAAGGTTATGGCGGATGTCCTCACAGCCTAATAGGAAATAGAAATATTTAAGCTCAATATTCACAGAGTGAAAGAATTTAACCTGAAGGAAAAAATACTCACGGGATTTGTAGCGGCAAGAGCTGTTCTAACATTGCTGATAAATGCTTTCACGTTCAATCTGAGAGAGAAGACAATAAAGATTAGCCAAATCTATATAAATAAAAATGTAAATGTATTTGTTCAAAATCTTAAATCTCCGAAAGTTCTTCGCCGATTGCTTTGAAATTTTGACACAACGTTGCATTCGAATACGCGCGTGTTTTTATATACCTACTATTATATAGATGTCACACCTGTGACAGGTAAAAACATGCTTTTCCATTTAACCAGACTGAGCCACAGCAACGCGTGGCCGGGTACAGCTAGTATAGCATGAAATTGTATAGAGCAGTGAAAAATATAAACATTCCTTACACATTCTCAACCACTTTGTCAAAAGGTTATGAAATTTAAATGTGAGATAATAGTATTGGCTATGATGGAACTGCTTCTCAAAATAACAGGACACATCTTACATAACAGAAATGCATTTTTTAAAGAAATGACACATGAATACTTTTCAACCAGCTCCCCGTGTTTTTTTGTATTTCCAGGGATCATGGGGAAAGATGGAAATTTGTCTCACATCAAGCAAGTGGACACAATAATATTTTATTCCTCTTTTTAAAAAATGTGTTCGAACTTTTAAGGTATGCAAAGGGTATTCAAAATGATAAAAAAACATTTTATATTCCTTTTTTAAAATCCCTACTGGATGGCAATGGAGTCTGGGGGCTACATTACACCAATAGATTCTAAATTCTAACTACATTCTATATATATAAAAAATAAAGCACTGGGGAAAAAAAGAAGAGTACCAGACTGTACAAAACTAGTACAATAGTGAGAAAGAACTTGGTTCACACATGCATATAACTGCTGTAACAAACATAAATATACATTCATCTCATCTAAAAATATACAAATAATAAGGTGTATTAGCATGGTTGCTATTAACATTCTCTGTGTGCTAATCCATCTTTTATGTCACAGTTATTTAATAAACAGCATGTATATGTAAGCAGCATGCTATTCTAATTTTGAGACTTACCCAGTAAACCCAAACTCTTTAATTGCATTTGAGAGCCAGTTTAAAGTTTCTGATTGGTTCTTTGGATTCTTCTGGGAGAACGCCATGGACATAACCTAGAACAAAAGGAGACTATTTGCAACTGATATAAATGAGCAATAGTTCTTGTGATAGTAAGTGTTCTTTGAAAAACTATACATGTACCTGCTCAGCAGTCCAAGGCAGCTGACAGGCTTCTGCTATTGCTGTTAGTGCTTCTTTGGCATTGCTACCACATTTCACATCACCAATCTTATCCACAAGGCCATCCAGGACAATTTGTGCAGATGTTTTGGAAAAGGTTCCCTTTTGCGCAACCAAGGCAACTATATGAAGTTTTATTTGCATCACCTGCAAACAAGAAGTGGAGCCATTGCTATTTGCAAGCCAATGATCTGCTGCACAGTTAAGATTTGAGACCTACATTTCATCAAACGTGACTAGTGCGTAATCTGCATTATCTACGAGGCACAACCAGACCACACTGTCTACGGCAGACAAAATTTTCAGGACCAAAAATGTTTTTAAGCGGTATTCCCTAAAATTAGATATATTTGATATTACTTTATTATGCATACATTCAAAATACATTGTGACTTTTGCCTTGAAAAATACAAGTTCAGAGAATAGCTTTGTAACTGTGTGGACTCACCAGCTGAAGGGGGACTTTCTAGGGCAGTGGTTCTCAACTTTTTTAATGCTGCGACCCCCAACTGGTTGTAAGTCGAGGACTAAACCGGTCGTAAGTTGAGGACTAAACCGGTCGTAAGTCAAGGACTACCCAACCAGTCGTAAGTCAAGGACTTTCCCTGCCCGGGAGCACCGCGCATGCGTGGTTCCGCCCCCTGCGCCGGCCGAGGCGTAGCTGGCAAGCAGCAGAGACAGAGCAGGCCGACCACCAGCTGGCCCAGCTCAAGGGAGGTAAGGCACCCGCTGGAAAAGGGGGGAAAAATGGCGGACAGCCTTGCTTGGCGACCCCCGTGAAATGGTCGATCGACCCCAAATGGGGTCGCGACCCATAGGTTGAGAACCGCTGTTCTAGGGGGACTAAAGGGACATTCCAGCTTAGTGTTGGTTTGGGAGTAGGAAACACCTGAGGTTAAACCTGTAGGTCTCTATCTGCCGTTTCCCAAGGGAAGGCAGATAGTCTTGTGAGATTTTTGTAATAGGGATTAACAATTAAATTATCAACTTGGGCCTACTCTTGAGTTGTTCTGGTTGCTTGTGCCTGACAATAAGCTAGTATCCAGATATTATTGAAATGAGGATCCCCAAAGGCCTAGGGCAGTGGTGGCGAACCTATGGCATGGGTGCCAGAGGCGGCACTCAGAGCCCTCTCTGTGGGCACGCGCACCGTCGCCCCAGTCCTAGGCCTTCAGCTGGGTTTTATAAAACCTTTTCGCTTTAGGCCTCCGCTGCCATGTCCCCCAAAAAAGGTTCAATCAGTCAATTTCAACTTCTTGCAGGAAAAAAAAGATCTTGCAAAGTTGGAATTGATTGATTGAACTTTTTAGTCCCACCCAGTCTGCTGTTACCACCGCAGCCATGCCCACCCAATTGGCCACACCCACCCAATGGGCCACACCCACCCAGCACTCGACAATGCATAAGTGGGTTTTGGGTTGCAGTTTGGGCACTCGGTCTCTAAAAGGTTCGCCATCACTGGCCATGGGCCTAAAAGGCTCTTAATGCTGTTGAATTAGAATTTAGAAATTTTTCACATGCAGACTAAATACAGATACTATAAATATTGACACAGCTCTCAGCATCTTTCTTAATATATATATATATTTGAATGCTTTATTTTAATTGTATTATTCTTCTTTAACAAGGTTCCAAATACCCATATTTTAATTAAACCTTAATGAACTGTGTAATGCTACCAGAAATATATCAATGAAGAAAGCAAATAATTTAATGAACAATATTATTATGCTGGATGCAAATAAGAAATATAGATTAAACTCCTTGCATAAAGCTTTTAAACGTTAAAAGGTCAAATCTACACATAAGGAATTCCAGGCTCAACTCTAATGTAACTTTGTGAACAAAGTTCATTAATTATAAATTCAATGTTAGAAGAACTAACCCAAAAAATTAATATTGTTCTACCTGAAAGTTGGTCTCTTTCCATCCAGGTTTCTTTGCCAACATTCTTACTAGAGCCTGGCAAGGCATTTCAGTTTTATCCATCAGCTCAACAGCCTTCAAGATTAAGAACAGTGTTAAAACTGTAAGAAATGCAGGAACATAAATACTGCCAAACTGCCTTCTATAAACCTACATTCATTCAGATACATTTCATGTTTAGCATCGTAAAAACCATAGCCCTTAACAATATTATTTTTTCCTTCACTGGAAAGTTTTGTAAAGAAATTACCTTTAGTTTTTGCAGTCTTCAAACCCAAAGCTGGATAAAAGTAGATCAAAAATTATCTAGGTTTGGGTCTGAAGACTATAAATATTGTAAACATAAATTTAATCCAAACTATATAAGAATTATTCTTTTTTTACAAATATATTTTACTTACAAATCAAGCTTTATTATTTATTTATTTATTTATTTTACAAAATTTATATGCCGCCCTTCTCCCCATGGGACTCAGGGCGGCTCACAGCATGTTAAAACAATATACAAAATTACCCCTTCTAAAAACCAATTAAAATCCAAATATTAGTGGCTGTGACTATTTAAAATCATTAAAAATTATCCCTATTTAAAATTCACCCTAGGTCAGGCCCG